TACTTCAGATGTCACTGATTTGTGACAGGGATTTGTATGCAATGGCTTGTCAGATAATCTGTGCCTTAAATATGACTTAAATATGAAATTTTCATTTTCAGAACATGAATTAGAGATCATAACTGGCTTGGAGGATCTTTGGATTAAGGAGGACCAGAATGCTGTTTTTATGTGTGAGCTGTCTATGGAAGATATGCCTGGGGAATGGTACAAAAATGGCAGCAGGATACGTCCCACTACCACCATCAAGACTCGTACAGAGGGTGAGGATAAACTAACCTAATGTTGTAAATATACATAGAACGGATCCTTTATTATTTTTCTGTAGGAATTATGTACAATATCAGATTTTAAATAAAACTTGAAAAAGGAAAGAGTTCTTTTTATTTTACCATTTAAATAGGAACAAAACACTTCCTGCTTATATGCAACGTCAAGGCTGAAGATTCTGGAGAAGTCAAGTTTGTTTCCAAACAAGTGGAGTCAGTTGCTTATCTTGAAGTTGAAGGTATTATATAAAATATGTACTTAAAGTTACACTAATATATATATATATATATATATATATATATTACTTTAATATTTTTATTGTGTGGTAACCGTTTTATAAAAGCAATAAGGTACTCGAGGCAAATGCTGTATCATAAATAAGTAACAGCTTAGTAACGGGGTTATTCTTTAGCCGTTACTTATTCACGATACAGCACAGCCTGTCATACCTTATTGCTTACATAAAGCACTGTGAGCTAAGATGAACAAGCATTGAACAATTTTATTGCTCATAGTTAACTAATGCATTAATGACAACAAATGATACTCTATTGAAAAGTTTAAACAATTATCTGATCCCAATCAAAAATCCTTTATCAATATCTGTTTTTACAGAGCTTCCTGTTAGCATTGTCCGTCCCCTCAGGGATCGAACAGCTCTGGAAAAGCATCGAGTCATTCTAGAATGCACTGTATCATCACCAAATTGTGACGTCACCTGGTACAAAGGGGATGAAGAGTTAGAATCCACTGAACACATGGAGATGATACAAGAAGGTTGTTACCATAAACTTGTTATCCACCAGGTGGCATTGGAGGATGAAGGAACCTACAGTATTGAGGTTGGGGAGCACACATGCACAGCCAAGCTAATGGTTGAAGGTGAGAATTGTGAAAATTACCATTTTTATTATGCATCAATGATTTTAGTATGCTAAATGGATAGAACAAATTATTAAGATAATATTTAAATGAATTTGATTTGAGAAATTAAAAGAGATATGCATGGCATTAAAGGGTTATGGTTCACCCAAAAAGAAAATTTATCCCATGATTTACTCACCCTCAAGACAACCTATGTGTATATGACATTTTGGTAACACTTTATAATAACTGCACGCTATTAATCATTAGTTAAGCATGAGTAAACAGTTAATACATCATTTATAAAACATTAATAGACATTAAAATGCAGTTTATAAATATAGCTATACATGCTTTTTTCTTGATTTATAAGCATATCTATAATGCGTTTAATGATTGTATTTTCATACTTTGTTAATGATCAATTAATAATTTCTAAATTAAGTATAACATTATTTGCAAACCAGTTGTTTAAGAGTTGTCAGTCATTTATAAGACCACTTAGAAAGTGTAAGTAAATGTAGTAAATACAGGTAGTTATAAAGCATTTATTAGTGGTCAGTTAACTATTTTTGTGAGCTAATCTAAAGTGAGGACTATTCATGCTTTGTAAAGCATTTATAAAGGAGATTTAAAGACTCGTCAATCTTCTAAACAGTAAAATGTAACAAACACAACGCAGTGATACAGAACATAGAAATATTTAACAGCCTTTAAAAATGCTTTACAAGGCATGAAGTCCTCACTTTAGATTAGGTCACAAAAATAGTTAACTGACCACTATTAAATGCTTTATAACTACCCAAATTAATCCTTAATTACAGCATTAATACATGTTAATAAAGCATTTATTAACACATTAAGTAACCATCACTATATGTCTGAATAATAAGATGTATGAATGTACATTTAAATAGTTTATTAATCACTTACTCGCTCTAAGTAATCGTATGAACCACGGACAACTCTTAAATAACTGGTTTATAAAAAATGCAATTCTTCATTTAGAAATGATAAATTGATCATTAATAAAGGATGAAAATACAATTATTAAACAAATTATAGATATGCTTTTAAATCAAGAAGAAAGCATTTATAGCTGTATTTATGAACTGCTTATTAATGTCTATTAATGCTTTATGAATGATGAATTAATGGTTTACTCATGCTTAACTAATGATTATTAGCGTGTAGTTATTATAAAGTGTTACCGACATTTTTCTTTCAGACAAATACAATCAGAGTTATATATATATAAAAATGTCCTGGCTCTTCTAAGCTTTATAATGGCAGTAAATGGCCGTTTCTGTTTTAAAGTCCATCACAGTGCATCCATCCATGATACAAGTGCTCCACAAGGCTCTGGTGGGTTAATAAATTCCTTTAGAATCAAAGCAGTGCGTTTTGTAAGAAAAATATCTATATTTAAAACGTTTTTGACTAAAATAACTAACTTTCAGCACACGGCCGTACGCATCGATTTATGGCGAAAGAGTAAACCTTGAACAGATGCACAATGTAATGACAAACGCAGAAGCACAGAGGATAGAGCAAAACAAAACACTATTAACGAATTAGGAGTCTAAAACGTCAATTTTTAAAGAGAGATGTCAGGGGAGCTTGAGTTTTTTGCCCAGCCCTGTTTGTTTGAACCGCGAGAGGCATCTAAACTTATGATACTCCTACATTCTACATTTGTCACGGGTTACTTTTGTGCCACAAGTCGACTTGCGTAGTATGCGTATGGTCGTCTCTCAGAAGCTTTTTAGTCAAAAAAGTTTGAAATATGAATATTTTTCTTACACAAACACATCGCTCCAGCGCTGTGTGGATTACTTTTATCATAGATGGATGCAATTTGAACGACTTCAAGAAAGAAACGGCTATTCACTGCCATTATAAAGCTTGGAAGAGTCAGAAGTTATTCTTTAAAATAACTTAGATTGTATTCATCTGAAAGAAGAATGTCATATACACCTAGGATGACTTGAGGGTGAGTAAATCATGGGGTAAATTTCATTTTTGGGTGAACTATCCCTTTAAAGGTCATAGTTTAAACTTTCTGCTTTTCGACTTCATAGCCCAGTCTATCCTAGTGGTGAAGGATATAGAGGATGTGGAAGTGAGAGCTCCTGAAACAGCTTGCTTCCAGTGTGAAGTGTCCGTGACCCTCATCAAGCCTCCTATCTGGACATTAAATGGGGAGAACCTGCAGTCTGGGCCCAATATTCGAATCGAGAACCAAGGGACTGTCCACAAACTGACACTCAAAAACACCAGCTCTGACATGAGTGGGACAGTCAAGTTTACAACAGGGAAAGCCAAGACTAGTGCCAAACTGACAGTGCTTTAGTGAATTATCAAAGGTCACGTACATGAGGACAGTATGAAAGAGCGGGAAGTAGTATATATAAATGGATGTGTGATCATATCAAGCAAACTAAAGCAATGCTCTTAGATATTTTAACCCGTTTTTCTCAAAGTTAAAAAGTGAGACGTGATATCGAAAGAGATAGACTAGCCACAGCACACATTTACTCCTGCAAGGGATTGATATTTGAGAGAGAAAAGTCATAATTTAAACCTGATGGTTGTCGGTTTGGTGTCAGAACAAAATGTGATAGGAAGCAAGTGTCATTGTAAACTCAATGTGGACATTGAAAGTATATGAAGATGCAAAGGGATTAAAACCTGAGGATTTCCTTTTTATGCCATTTTATTATTATTATTTTTTTTGTGGTAGAACCGCACAATAATTTATAAATGTAACAACGCTCTCATAAATGCTGATAAAGAGGAGAATGTATGTGATGTCTAATATGGATGGAAAACTTTTTATAGTATTTATAATTTTTAATATTTTACAGAATACAATGGCAGAAATGACAGAAGGTTCTATTTTATAGACGCAAAATAAAAGTAATGTGTGTTTAAAATGTAACCCTTTCTGGATTTAGTTAAATGAAAACTGCTGATATAAAAGCTTATCATATGCATCCATACCACAGTACTAATGATGCTGCTGTAAAAGTGATATCCCATAAAAATAATAATGTAAAAAATAAAAGTCATCACAAGATTCCCATCTGTTATGAAATGTCGATTTTATGTCTTCAATTAACTCGTTTTATTTTTAATTCTGTTGAAAGTTTACAACCATAGAAAGTGGACAAAAAAACTGTTATCATAGTATCCATACTATTATTATTATTATTTATTTTTTTTTACAAAAACAGCAAAAGCAAAAATTCTATACTGAAATCGAATGTATCGAAAGACATGCCAAACACAGTGTGATATACAAAGTTTGAAATATAAAATCAAATGTAAACACACATCTAAGGTTTACACATACATGGTAACATTTTCATTCTTAACAAACAGTAATGGCTTTCTTAAAAAAAGAAATAAACTTTAAAACATCTTAGAACACCAGAGCATAATTTCTTTATAAACTTAAAAGTATATTATGTTGCTGACACTATTATAATTAAAACATTGACAAATCAGCATTTTACACTGCAGACAATTCTCAAAAGAAAATCTCTTCTCAGTAAATGTAGAAAACAGTATTACTGTATTCTTCTTCATGGACAGCTCTTACTACTTGCTTCTCCAATTCTTAAAATGATACTCAATTCAAGTTCAAATGGATGCATCACCAATTCTAACCTACATAAATACTAAATGATAATTATATACTGTATATATATATATATATATATATATATATATATATATATATATATATATATATATATATATATATTATAATCATTCTGGTATAATCACTGATCTAAAGTTAATTTAATGCAGTATTGCTCTTTATGTAATGTTCGTCACCTTGATATAACTGTTACTTGTCGATCAGCTATCGACCAAGACCTTCTCTATTATCACCCCTAACATGTAGTCTGTTTTTTTTTTCTCTTTTTTTTTCTTGAGATAGAGTATAGTTTGTTCTTCAACTCATAATATTTGTCATTAAGAAAGCTCCTGCTAAGAATTTCCAGAATTTACCAGCACGGAAAGAGTATTTCCTCATACTGTGCTAAGTCCTTGCTTTTCTTCACTGATAGGTGTGCTTGGTGAGCTAGAATTGGTAGATGAGGCTGGGCATGAAGGCCCACTCTGGTAGACTCTGAGAAGGACCTCGTGTTTAGTAGCTGACTCTGCACATCTGCGCTGGTGCTCCCCCATGAATTCTTTGAGTCGTGTGGTAGTGAAAGTCAAGGTCTGTCGACGCAGTTTCTTTAAATATGAGTCATGAAGCCATGAATGTTTGAGGCAGTCCTTAATGGTGGGTCGGCACCTGGGGAAAAAGTCCATAAAATCAGTAAAAATCAGTGGTGGGTGGTCAGGGCAATATATTTTTTCCTTTTTCGTTGCGCTGCTTCCAGTACTGTTTATTTATCATATTTCAGCCATCATGCGTTGCCAGGGTCAAATAAATCTGCCTTCAGGCCTTCTGAATCGTTTAAAATGATAGGCAGTGAAACCGTTGCTTTAACCAATCAGATAATCAGTCAGATTTAATCATCCAATCAGACTTCGATTTCACTGCAGCGGGGCCATCTAGAAGGCGTACAATAACGTCAGCATTTTCACATCCTTAGATTGGATGGTCAGAGCGCGTACTATCTCTGCTAGCCACATCTGTAGCAAACTGCATAAACTAAAATATATTTCTGTAGATTTAATAGTTTTTAAATAAGCCCTTATTCAGCCTCATCCAACTTAGCATCTGTCCGGGTAAAAACAAATATAACAGTAATGTATGCAACAAATGATTTTGAAGGCAAAAGTACCGCTGAGAGCATTGGGCAATTTTGCAACCAGTCCTGTCACGGATGGTTGAAAATAATGATAAAGGGAAACTGTGAGATATAGTGGATCTAAAATGCAGCATGATATTTATTAAACAAAAATAAGTAATCAAAACAAGTGAAGGAAGGAAGAAACATTTCTGAGAGCTACATCTTTTACTTGGCCGCTATACCACCTGACCACTGCAGATTTAAAATGTGTTCAACTTGAATCGGCACTGTGAAGACTGATCAGTGTATGACACCAATAAATATACACTGTAAATAAACCAATGAAACCTGCTTAGAAACCAGAGACTGAAACCTGCTCAGAAAGGGAAACACAGTAAATAACAAATACAAACTGAAAATGAAAACAAAAATATAACAGAATGTGAAAATTCCGTAGGGGAGAGCAGGGCACAACCTAAAAAATTTGGTTTTGGCTCAATTAAAAGAAATGATTAAGTTAGATTCAACTTTTTTACACAAGCAACATGCATATCTCTGCTACAAATGAACACTTTCTATGACCTACCATTTTCATACTGATGCACTGAAAGTGACAGAAGTGCAAATGTTACAACTTACCCCATAAGCAGGGTTAATAGTAACACACATAATTCAGTACTGTTTCATTTGTTTAGTTTGATATTGTTTGTGCATCTCTATAGATAGATATCCATACATCCATCCCTGATCCAATCATCTTTCTGTTATGGATCAATATCATGGAGAGAGACATAGAAAAGAGCTGAACAGTTTTGCAATAAATAAATAAAATCATCAAATATTGTAATTGCAATATTAATATTGTAAATCAAATATTGTAATTGAAATAATTGAATTAGATTTGTGTGTGGCAGCTGCATATTAACAATAACTGTAACAATAATACAAATGAGCTTAAAATCAAAATTTAAAGGGTTTATTGCATTAAAAACAGATAAATAAATAAATAAATAAATAAGTGATAAATACATGGTAAACTAAATTTTAAACATTTTAAATTCCAACATTGTTTGTGAAAGTCCAACAAAGTTAAATATATAAAACGAATACTCAAACCTGAAAAGTTGTGTGGCTCCCTGTTTTCATTTGATTATCATTGTGCACTTGGCGGCTTAGTTGTAACACTGTGCTACAACTAACCCCGCTGTGTAAAACATATTTTAAGGCTAGCTAACAGTTGCTAGGAGTTGCTGACATGTTTCAAAACGGTTTGCTTGATCCTGACTAATTATGTAAAAGGCCTGTACATTTAACCCTGCGTTAGGCTGTGACCTGCGCTCCCCTATATGGAATTAGTCATTCATGTCAATGGTATACATAAATCGTGATTGAAAAAAAGGGGGACTCAACGTCATCAAGCCTATAATGTGATTGTTTTTTGAGGCACACGTGAACCAAGTTGTGCTTTCTCCAATGGTAAAGCCATGGAGGTAGGTATTTCTTTAAATAACAGGGGTGTCCAATCCTGCTCCTGGAGGGCCAACGTTCCTACTAAGTTTAGCATGATCCGGCCCCAACACACCTGGCTGGAAGATTCCAGTCATCCTGAAAACCTTCACTACTGGTTAAGGTGAATTTGAATAGTGCTGGAGCTAAATTCTGCAGAAAGACAACCCTCCAAGAGCAGGGTTGACTACCCCTGATCTAAAAAGTGCAATGCTGTGGAAGCTCCAGGAACAGTCTGACAATTCCTTCACTTAAGGGTGATTTTAACTTAAATTGCAACCAGTTCCCGGCTGTGTAATTGATACTCACCATTGATAGCCATTTATTAACTTCTTTAAAAACGTGGAGGCACTTTGGGACACCTTTGGGTAGAGCTTAGATGAGTCAAACTTTGCTGCATGGATTTTGGTCTCTGTCACTTTTGGGTCTTTGTCTTGGAAAGGATGTCTACCGCTGAGCCTACAGTAAACAAAGTGACTTAAGTGACTTTTTTTTGTTTGATAAGCTATTTTGCGTAGAAATTCACCTTAATACAATAGTAAATTACTTACATAATATAGGAAAGAACTCCCAAGCTCCAAATGTCTGCTGGGGGTCCTACTAGATCTCCTTTCAGCATTTCTGGAGCTTGAAGAAGGCAGAAAACATCTCATTAATGTCAATAAGACATGGATATGTATTTTAAATCCTTATGTAGAGAAACATTACAAGATAAGAATTGCACAATGGACATACCCATATACTCCAGAGTCCCAAGATCTCTGCTGTATTGTTGAAGTGAGAGAGGGTTAAACCTTTGAGCACTGCCAAAATCTATTATTTTAATCACATTGAGGTTGGTGACCATGATATTGTCTGGCTTAATGTCCAAATGAAGAATCCGACAGTTGTGGAGATATTCTAAACCCTGAAGAATCTGGACAATGAAACCCACTACATCATCTTCAGAGTAACAGAATCTGGAAGAGAAACCAAGACCCATCTGAAGACACCGAACTTCATTTTCACATCCTATTTAAAATAAACAATCTATAAAAATTGGGCTCATACACACCTGTCAATGAGACTGTACAGGATTTCTTTGCCTGGGCAGTACTCTGTTATGAGTACAAGGTAGCGAGGTGTTATATAGGCTTCATGTAGGGCCATGATTCTTTCACAATGAAGGGACTTCAGGGTCTCATACTCCTTTATGACAGTTTGCTTAGTCTGATGATCATAGGGAATTATCTTTGCTACAAACATCTTCCCTGTTGCATTTTCTCTGCAATCTCTTATGACTCCAAAACGACCCCTATCAAAAAACAAATGTGTTTCATGAACGTTATTGCAGATTTTTAAACTGTAAAAATAGATGGAGAATTATATGTATAAATAAAGGGACAAGTAATTGTATTTTCTCACCTAGCTTTCTCATCCAAAAAGCTATACGGCTTCTGGGGAACTCCTTGCTTCAAAGTGGTCTCAGTTTTTGTGCAGGATACCACTCGTCCTGAGGGTGTCTCTTGTGTGGGTGAGCTTGCTCCTTCTCCTATTGGACTGATACTGCTGACCAGAATTACATTGGGCGAGACAGGTGTGGGAGCAACTAAGCAAGTGGCTGGAACATATGTAGGTACAGGGGAAATTGATCTGCCTATTGAGGGTGGAGCTGTGCATGACCTTGGAGAAACAGTCTGGACTTGCGTAACAGGGGGAATTATGTTGATAGTGCTCATTGGCTTGGGGAGAACAAGAGGAGGCATGGACGTCTTTGGGCAAGAGTGAGAAACAGGGACTTCTGAAGAAGTATTTGTAACTTCACCAGACTGTGCAATAATTGAACTAATAGACTGACTTAACACACTTGACTGTGCTAATGCAAAAGCAGATGTAGTCACAGCAGTGGTCACAACTGGGTAAGAGGCCGAGGGGTGTGTCTTCATTTCAGCAGGCTTATGGAGTGGTGCCACTGCAAAACAGGTAGGATTGATGTACACATACGTTTATTTTCCAAATCCAGAAAATAAAAATGAAATGGCATTAACCAGTTAATTTAAATAGTAATATAAGCTTTAATTACAAGACATTTTACTAAGTAATTAAGTAGGCTAAGTATCAAGTACAACTGAACTGTATGCTCAGTACCTTCACCGTTGATGCTTACTCCCTCTGATACATTACTGTATGGACCTTGGCCAGCTTTATTTACACATGCCACACGGAATCGGATGGTAGATCCAGATGGAAGTTTAGAGGAATTGTAGAAGCAATCAGTCACTCCTGTAGCTTCAGTCCACCACTTATCATCTCCTACAGATAAAACGTGGAAATGTAAAACACTGCACAGAATAAATGACAAAGATATAATAATATCCATACTATTATGAAACATAATAAATCAGTATATACAAGATGTATTAGACATTCCCTACCATCAGATCTTCTCTCAAGTATGTATGAGCAAGGAACTTTGGTGTCTGATGGTTTCCATTGCACCAGAGCAGTGCTATTGTATTTCTGTGCAATCTCTGGGGTTCCTGGTGCTTTTGGAACACCTTAAAATGTGATATAAACAATACATGAGAAAAGAAAATAACTTGTGCAAGCATAATGAACAAAATATGAAAACGTCTAAACATCAGTTGGGTATTAATGCTATACACGCCTAAACATCTGTTGGGTATTAATGCTGAAAACGCCTAAACATCTGTTGGGTATAAATGCTATACACTTTATTCCTGACAAGCTCACATTTTTAATTATGGGAGGCACTTCTGGTTTAAGAAACTTCCACTAAAAAAAAATAAATAAAAAGACAGAATATTTTTAAATTATAAGGTTGTGCTACAAATAATCCTTATCTGCCAATTTGATTGAATAATCTGTAAATTTTTCTTTGTTTTATCTTTACACATCAGAAGAATAATCTAACGCTTGGTATATTAATGTGACATGATATCACAAGAGTGTCCGTGGCAAGAGCTCTTTTCATTCGATGCATTTTCCTCCTGATTATTTCTTTTTTTTCTCTCTGTAACAATATTAACAACATACTGCACACTTGTGGTCTGCTCTCATTATTTGTTTTACTATATATATCCCAAGAATAATTCCGAATGCTCTCAATCTCTTTATTTTTCCTCCCCAAATCCTCACATCTCTTTCCAGGTTTTTTTTTTTTTTACATGGATACTATAAAATGTAATTGTCACCTCTTTTCACTTCTAATCCCTAATCATCTTCAACAACTGGAATGTTTCTAAAAGAGGTAAATTCAATATGTGTGGCCTGTCAAAATGATGGAAAGCATTTTGAAATATTATCACTCAATAATAAAGTTAATGAACTTTTTTTTACTAAGGCAATGTTACATAATACAGACATACTGTATTACTACAGTGATATTTAACATGTCTGGTAATAACGGTAATGTTGCTGCCGAAAGAATCAAGCTTTTGGGGTTATTTATGGTTTGTTGTAGTAATTTGTTAATGCTTTTAAGTTTCCCTTTAATGTTCAATGGTTAAAGTGTGAGTAGAGTAAGGTAATTTCATTGATTCATTCATCAAGTGTATTATTGCATTGATAGAGCAAGCCTTTCACAGATTATTTACAGTTTAACGGAAGTAACACTCATAATTCACACAAAGCATAGGGTGTAGGAAAAAGGTGGATACTAAATAGTGAGCAATCTTCCAGAGCTTACAGGCTAAGGACAGTATACAGGAACTAGTTGCTGAAGCAAGGTTATTAGTGGCTACACATTCATAGATTCCAGCTTCCTTCTTAGTGGTCTTCATGATCATCAAAAGTTGCCTTCCATCTGGGCAGGCCACTAAGCTCATTCCGTCATGAATCTCCAAAGGTTTCTTATCTACGAACAGAAAAAAAAAATGTTGGAAAACGTCTCAGGTTACGTATGTAACCCTGGTTCCCTGAGAGGGAACGAGACGCTGTGTTTGAGACGCGGTGGGAATGCCCTGCGTGATTACGCCGTGAAGCACATGTAAAATCAGTCCAATGGAAGCCCGAAACGTCATGGGTGACGTCATAGACCAGGAAACTATAAAGCACCCCTGAAATCAGACCGCGCTAGCTTCTGAAAAACCTGAAGCAAGTCGATCAGGGCATGCAGAAAGTATGGCAGGCAAACGCAGCGTCTCGTTCCCTCTCAGGGAACCAGGGTTACATACGTAACCTGTGACGTTCCCTTTCAAGGGAACTTCGAGCTGTGTTTGAGACACGGTGGGAACCCCATACCCATACACCCATACCCACTACGCCATAGTGACAAAAGAGAAAGTCCTGTGAGAAAGTCCTTGCGCACACTAAGAAGCAAGCAACCTAGCCCCTGGAGAGGAGAGGTCAAGGTCATAAAACCAAACAAATGTATGCGGAAAGGACCATCCTGCCGCATTACAAATGTCAAGAAGGGAAACACCCGAAATTAAGGTCATAGAGGCCATCATACTCCTTGTAGAATGGGTCCGAACAGCCATAGGTGAAGGCTGTCCGGCCGCTTCATAAGCCAATGATATAGGTTTAAATGCAGGGCATCCTCTCTTGAATGACCCAAAGCAGACAAATAGTTGATCAGACTTACGCCACAGGGCAGCTCTGTGAACATAGGCATCTAATGGCCAAACTGGACATAACAGGTTCAGTTGTTCTTGATCTGGGGTATTAAAAGCTAGAGGATTAAAGGCCTGCAGCACTAATTGGCCCCCAACATTAACTGGGACCTTAGGAATATAACCCGGTCTAGGGTAGAGAAATGCCTTCACCATACCAGGTGCAAATTCGAGACATGAAGGAGCAACCGACAAGGCATGAAGATCTCATTTTCTTTTGATGGAAGAAATAGCAAGCAGAAAAAGTCTTTAGAGTGAGAATTTTTTTCTGAAAAAATCTTTTCAAAGCCAGACCTTGAAGTACAACGGCTAAATCCCATGCCGGTGCTCTAGAGTGCAATAGTACCATGGAGAAAACGAGTAATATCAGGATCTCTCCCAATAGAAATAGCCCCCATTGGGGTGTGGTAGGCAGATATAGCCACCAAGTAAACCTTTAGGGTGGAAGGAGATAATCTAGCAGAGAAACGGTCTTGCAAAAAAAATCGAGAACTGAACCAACAGGGCAGTTAACAGGATCTAAATGACGATCACCACACCAGTGGAGAATACTTTCCACTTCAGTGCATACAGTCTTCGTGTGGAAGGGGCTCTGGAATGGAGAATGGTCTCACGACCTCAGTCGAGAGACCGGATTCTATGAGCCGGGCCCCCTCAGAGGCGAGGCCTACAGTTTCCACAACTCCGGTAGAGGGTGATATATCATGCCCCCTGTCTGGGACAGCAGGTCCCTCCTGAGCGGAATCTCCATGGGAGAGCTGTCCAGAAGAGACATTATATCTGAAAACAGAATTAGAGTTGGCCAGTAAGGCGCTACTAGTAGCAGACGAGTCCCTTCCCGGCAAACCCTCTCCAGAACCCCCGGAAGCATGAATATCGGGGGAAATGCAAACAGGTGTAGCCTCGGCCACACCTGCACCATCGCATCCAGTCTGAGAGGAGCTGGCTTCATGAGGGAGAACCACATGGGACAATGGGTTGTATCTGACGATGCAAAAAGATCTACTTGAGCTCACCAAACTTCTCCCACAGGAGCTCCACCATCTCTGGGTGAAGTCTCCACTCGCCAGGCCTCAGCCCCTGCCTCGACAGGATATCCACCCCCACATTCTGACGCCCCAGAATGTACACTGCTCTGAGAGATAGCAACTTCCCCTGGGCCCATAAGAGGATCTGATGGGCCTGCTTGCAAAGGTGACGTGACCTCAGACCCCCCTGATGGTTTATATAGGAGACCACCAATGTGTTGTCTGTACGGGCCAACACGTGATGGCCTCTCAGGTCTGGCAGGAAATATTTGAGAGCTTGAAATACCGCCATCATCTCCAAACGATTTATATGCCAGGAACGTTGATGGTCCTGACAAAGACCTTGCGCCGAGTGGCCACTCATGACCGTCTCCCATCCCGTGAGGGAAGCATCCGTCAAAAGCATGATGCATCGACAAAAAGCCCCCAACACTGGGCCCTGGGCGAAGAACGAAGATTTCTTACATATGACCAAGGCACGAAGGCATCGCCGCGTGACCTTGATCCTGCAGAACGGATTTCCCCTTGGAGAAAACCCCTTGGTCCTGGGCCACCACTGCAGGGGTCTCATGTACAGAAGGCCAAAAGTAATTACGTTGGACGCAGCTTCCAAGAGACCCAACAGTCTCTGAAACTGTTTTACAGTGAGTGACTGGCTTAGTTTCACATTCTTTACGGCTGTGAGAATCGCAGAAATGCATGCAGGGGACAGACGTGCCTGCATTGTGGTCGAATCCCAAATTACACCCAGAAAAGTGGTCCTCTGAGCTGGGAGGAGCACACTCTTTTTGGTGTTGAGCCGCAACCCCAAACCCTTTATATGGGACAGAACGACATCTCGAAGCGGAACTGCCAACTGCTCTGACCAAATCAACCAATCGTCGATGTAATTTAGAATAATCCAGAATAGGACGCAACCCTCCATCCTTCTTTGGAACAATGAAATAAGGCTGTGAAATCCTGACTCTCTGCTGGGAGGAGAAACCCTTTTTATAGCTCCTTTTTGAAGAAGTGTCAGTATTTCCTGCTCCATGACCAGACCCCTTGAAATGTGGGCGGACGAGAACAGAACTGAATTCTGTAACCCTTTTCTATTATGTGCAGGACCCATATAGAAATATTTGGCAGAAGTTTCCACGCTGCCAGAAATTCCGATAAGGGAACCAGCCTTTTGAGACTG